TTACTATCTATAAGAGAAGCAAGAAATACTCAAATAGAAATTTTCAATTTTATAACTCATTCAAACAATATCACCCACAAAACTACCGGGATCATCAAATCTGCAACGTTCATGTACTCCTTTTCCGAAAGTAATTCCATGATACGCAACACTTCCGCTCGACATTTTAACAGTGGACTGCTATTTGAATGTTGAATAGTTTGATGCTGTGCAACACTATTATAACGGGCTACCTGAAACATGATACACCATAAAAATAGTAAGAGCTATGAAAACAGAAATATTTCGTTAACTAAAAGCTCTAAACAAATGAGAAACTTAAGGTAAAAAAATACAATTAGACGAAATAAAAACAGACAAATTTTGTATAATGACAATATAACAAGCTTTCAATATCAATAATAAGACGAAGAAATTCTCATATCAGTGATATAACCAACTTCTTTACTTAATGCCGTGATTACTGCCGGTGGCCGCGATGTAGCGATTAAACTTAATGCATGACGTGCTGTGTGACAAACATCCACTGATGGAGTTAGAATAGCTGCTGCAGTACCTCTGCAAATTTGCCTAAATTGAATGTCAATGAGGACTACTTTTATTCTCTTACGCAGAGAATGAGAAGCAAAGAAATATTAGTATCTTATTAATGGTAATAATATTTCAAACACCAAACTTACTAGTAATAATAATGATACTTCTCATCAGAAACCTTATTATAGGATAGATTAACAACAAAGAGTTACACGGATTGCTTATCGGTGCTAGTAGCCAATTCCAAAAGGATTAGTAGGAGTTTAGTGATATCCAGATGAGGTTGCCAAACGCTGAAGCCTCGTCCGATCAAATCCACGGCAGCACGACGAAGTGGTGAATGATATGGTAATAGCGTTGTTGGTGGAGCAATAAGCAGTTCTAAGAGGGATTGTGCAGTAGCTCGTGAAATGTCCAACTACAAATTAATTCAAATAACAAATCATCTTCAACTGGTACCAATCTTATTAATGGTAATATTTCAAACATCAAACTTACTAAAGATAATGATACTTCCCATCATAAATCTTTAGTCTACCATCTTTACAACTAACCTTACTCATTTCGTCTGGAAATTCGGCACCAATCACGCCAAGCAATATTAACGATGTTGCTTGATTTCGCCGAATTTGCTGTACGCCAGCTTCTTTCGACAATTTAACATCTACTGGAAAATTAAACCGAATTCAGCTCATCTAACTTTCGGGAGGGTCTCTTCATCCCACTTCAACATTAATTATTGGAGCACATAGTTGATGCTTTTTTTCTTTTAAGATTGATCTAACTGGTTATAAGTAATTAATAATTACGTTAACATAGGAGAATTAGAAAATTAAGTCGAAAAAAAGAAGAATGGAGATCAACAGAAAACAGTAATTTGCTGAAATGATGATCCTTGGCAGGTCATATAAGGAGAAGATCTTGCTTAGATCTTACCATTGATAGTTGGATCCGGGAGTACTTTTTCGCCCTTGCGGTGAGGAATTGGAGGTGGCTGAGGAGCACTGGCTGTTCCAAGAGCTGTATTCATAGACGCTACCAAAGCGCGATTGCCAAAAATTGAGAGCGTAGGATCCAGAAGGGTTGGAAGAAATGCAGACCATGACTCCATCAAACGTTTTCGACCATTGACACTAAGACGCGTTAATTCTCTTGTAAGTAGTGCCTGGGCAGCCATACGCACTTCCAGACACTGGTCTTGCCACCTGAAGTTCTCATTGTGAGAGGCAAGCTTATGGAAGTATTGCTGATAGCTTAATCTTGCACTTCATAGAAAAGATGTAATTTTAATAGTTATTAAAGAGTTCTTAAACACTTGTCAGAGACACAGGATTTCAAACGAGGTTTGAAGAAATAAAACTAAGAGGGTACAAAAATAAACCTTTTTGCGAGTAATTCTATCCTTGGTGGACAATAAATATTTTTTGGCTTGATTAGATCGGGCAACAGACAACAGTGTAGTGCAGCAATTAACGACCAGCCTTGCTTCAACTGCAAATCGTTCTCGTGAGACTCAGCAGCAGAAGAACGTAATGAAGAGCTTCTGGAAATCAGTATAATATTAAGTTGATGAGAAAAATCCAGCATCAGTTTTATAAAGAATATTAAAATTCAAAATGATATTAATTATTCTGATCATGGTTTTGCACTGCACAAAATAAATGGATTACTAGTAACCACTAGAAAATATCCACAAAGAATACAGAAAATATCCAGAAAATATCCCCGAAAATATCAACAAAATATTCCCCCCTCCCTCTTCATCCACAACAAATATGAAATTTAGGATGATTGCTCTGACCTCATAAGAATATCCCTTCTAGGGATATCGAAAGAAGCGCCGTGCAATGACATCAAAGTATTCGCGAGAGCAATAACTGCCAAAAGATGCGCTGTTGTCAAACAACTGCCGGTGGCCCACCTAACAGCACTTGCAAAATTATCAAATGAAGTGCTATTATTGAATTTCCCTGTAGGCATGTATATCACTATATGTCCTGAAATGGATAACCAGTTAAAATGGACAATAATAGGTATGCGAATGTATATCGAGTTTAAATATAGAACAGGGAATCATATCGGATGATAAAACCAAGTAGATGGCAGTGTGAGAGGCGAGAATATTGCTTCATTATGTTTTATCTTGCAAGATATAAAATGTAGTATTTGAACATTTGGTAAAGCGTTTATTTATGGCAATTTGAAAACACAATGAAATGACAAACCCTGTCGGGATTCAACACCAAAACTTAATGGTGTCGATGGTTTCACGAGGCGCAATTTCTTCAAGCAAATTTCATCCAAATCGGCATCAAGAGTCCAAGCGTATAATAAACTCATACAAAGTTTCGCAACATCTAGGTAAAGATTGGATCCCGTCTGCCATGCAATTTTTGGTACTGGTGTACGAGAATCTGACTGTTGTTTACCCATCAATATTGTTGATAAGGACTTGTTTTCCATATTCTCACCTGTTGATAGTTCATTTTCGAGTACTAGAAGGCCAGCTGAAATTATAATTACTAATAGCATAAACGTGTAAACAAAAGATCGGAAATTTAATAATGGATAATAAAATTTCTGCACGAAAAAAAACGTAGAAATTAAAATGTACCGATCAAAGAATCAATGTTGAAAAATACAAGATGTGATGAGCTAGGCTCCTTAGTCATAGACTGAATATTCATTGGGGCTGGCAACTCGAGAACTTTTTCAGTTGTGCTTGCAACCTTTCCATCCCGGTTGCCAGTTGCAATCTGTTTCATCTGAAATCCAATAGTCTTGTTGAAAGGCATAAAAGCACCTGTCACAATCCATAAAATAAATTCGAACTCATAGCTTTTTCGATGAACAGGTGAAATACAATGATATACAGTTGCAAACAACTCCTATTGATTTGGCAGTATGCTTCAAAGACAGAAGTGAAATCAAACTTTAAAGTTGCAAGAAAACATACCGCAAGTATGTTTTTGTTTCTCAAAGCACGAAACATTTGAACCGCTTGCGAAGCGCCAACTTCATCGTCTATCTCGGCCACACCAATTTGTTCATTGCAAGCCGCCAGAATTTCTTCTGACATTTGTCCGTTAACAATTCTTTCCAAACTTGCTAAAAAATACTGAAACAATGTTTAATCTTATAACATTTTTTTCTTTTCTGATAAATGTTAAAGTATATAAACAACTTTCTAGATGCAATTATTTGGTGAAAAAATTATTTAAGGAAAAAATTTATAGTGGTTTTATTCCCACACTTGTTATTACAAACACATATAAACTAAAAATTCATAGTTGTTAGAGATTCAATCTTTTAATAAAGATAACTTTTTTAATGAGTTTTTACATTTCTTCCATATAAAGGGAAAATTTTTTTTTGTAATGGAACACGTAAAATGCAACATGATTAAGGACAGAATGAGATATAGCAGACAACTAGGACTAGCAATCAGCGTCATTCTAAGCTGACTATAGACATGAAACACAAACCGGTATCCATTTGCCACACATAAACAGTTTCATCCTCGCATTTCAACAGTAGGAAATTATCCAGCGGTCGCCATTTCACATCTACTATTGGAAATAACTGCCGACTTGCTAAGAGAAGACATTTATTTTCTTTCAAAGATAAAAGCGCAGCTGAATTATCTCCAGCTATTGAACAAATCGTATGAAGAACTCTCTGCTGAAAAAATGGTTTCGAAATATATGGATATTACGCTGCCAAACAGATGATCACTGGGAAATGCCAAACATACACTGCATGTTTCCGGAGGAATTAGCATGCGCAGGATTGGACCACCTTGGACACAAAACCGGTACAATCTTGATCCAGTATTCAAATTCCATGTTATGACAGAAAAATCGCTCGATCCAGAGAGCAATATCTGCTGGTCATATCGTGGATGTTCTTCATGTGGATACAAGAAGCATGTTACAGCAGCATTATGACCATAAAATTGGCGAAAATTGAGTTCTGTAATATGGCTTCATTGCCAGTAGTATTGGATTTCTTAAAAACATCCAGATCAACAAAATTATATTTAACAAATAGGAATAAATGGCAACCTCCGCTTTTGGTCAATAGTTGTTTTGAAATGGCATCACAACCGTACATAAGAATTATAGTCCCATCGCCTCGTCCAATAAGAAGGCGTCCTTGGCTACTAATATAATAAGTAGCTGTAACTTCGCAATCATCCTAAACTATAACAGATTACTATATTTTTACTAACTACTTCCCAAATTAGCAGTATTTACAGTTGCGCACGTACTTCACCATCGTATATGGATGGCGGCAAGTTTTTTAAGCTATTCCATTGGCATTTCATGCTTGTTTTTAACTTCGGTTGTTTGAATATCACTTTATGTTCCGATTGTATTGGTAAAACTTCATCAAATTCCCATATTACTATAATGCTTTCCGTATCGGCTCGACAAATAAGATGAGAAGCTGTGATGCAAAATACCATGTGTGCTGATCGCTGAAAATGGATTCTTAATGAAGATGGAAGTCATATAAGTCTGGCATAGCGATATGAATATTGTTGTGAGAAGTCACTCAACAAATAAAAAAAGGAAAAATGCTTTGTAGGAAGTTATTCAAGTTAATTTATATTCAAAACACTTTGTGACGTATTTATCGATCGTTTGGAAAAGGATCACCGACCAGATTATTAGCTGATTTGTTTTGCAAAATCATCAGCAGTGACGGATCGCTAAGTTTTTCCACCTCACTCTCTGAGTCACTACCACAAGAAAGCAACCTAAACCAAATAAAAAAAAAATGTGCGCTTCTAACAGCTGCCAAAAGAAATTCAAGCAAGCAATCCAGTATTACCAAATTTCATAGATGGTTTCACATCTTTCTTACTAACGTAAAACTTACGAATGGGGAAGCTGGTAAATATATACAGAACCATCTGCGCAAGCTACTGCAGATCGTTCACCAGATAATAATTTCCCGTCACAGATATGCTCTTCAGAAAAATAAACGACCAAACGATTAAGATCCGCCAATTGAAATATCTGGAAAATGACATGAGTGCGTTAAAAAAAGTTATGAAGAGATAAAGTCGTGAAGATGGAGAACTGGGAGTAAATAATGAAATAAACGCTACATAAGAGATTAAGATCGATTAGCTACTAACATGACATGAACTTTCCGATTTGCTTAAAGGAAATATCTTACTCTGCTCATTTAGCATTGTTACTTATCTTATGCGGTAATATTCCTAACTGCATTTCGTCATCCAATATTAATTTTCATTTTAAATTTAATGTTATAAGAATGCACCTGCCATGAAGCAGAATTAAATAACAGAAATATGGAAGGTGAAGAGGGATGCCAAGATACAGAACAAACTTCATTTATTTCCACATTTCTCGATTCTGTTTCATAGATAGGCAACTCCTGTAATTGCCTATTAGTTGGAAAAAAACAAAAGATTGGATACAAAAGCAGGAAGTCTACTAATAAATGAATTTCCAAATCAGATAGTGACAAACTCAATGCTTTAATTGCAAGGGCATAATGATTTGCATAAAAATATCCCAAGTTTGTATTGACAAATACTACTGATTTAAAGAACAATGAAAAAACCTTTTTATCTAAGTCAAACAGTAACCAAACTTTCATCATGCCAGATGTCGTCATGCCTAACACCGCATCTAAAATGAAATAATTGAAATGGAAGAGGAACATCAGATAATTTATGAATGAAGTCACTGTCCTTTATTGTTTAACAACACAACAACTTTTCCCCTGTCATTTAGTCATGAGAACTATCGGTCATTAGTGTAAAGCATAAAATAAGGTAACATACCCCTATCTACCATCTAATTCATTTGAAAATAGCTCTCATTAATTTTCTTCTCGTATTAAATAATAATCGCTTTCTAACAAAATCATAAGACTCACTATAGGTTCCTATTTAATAACGAAAATTTAAATAAATATATGTTAATTAGACAACTGTTTTTGAGGAAAACAAAAACATACAGTAGAGGTCTAACTGTCACGGATAGCGTAATCTAATGACTGTCTTTCGTCCAGTCAGCTTTACGAATAATTTTCTAAGTAACATCACCATCTACCATTAGTAATTCCAACTAAGTATGTACGGATGTTCATGAAAATAAGTAGCTCAGGTAAGATGAGGATGGTATAATCCGTATGGCACTATTTGATAGATGATCGTATCTCATAACACGAGAAAACACCGCCTTGAAAACTGTAATAGTTATGACAAAGTGCAGTGGCATATTTTGAAATGTTCATACCTTGTTTGTTTGGATAACTGATGATAGTGAATGCAGCTATCCAATCTGGCTCTACTCGTGAACTTAGGGTGAAAAGTATATTCATATCTTGTGGATCAATTACCACCACTTCTGCATAATCACCTATACAATACAACGCGCATAAACTAAAAGAACCACTGATTGTGCGCTGAAATATCCATATATAACATTAAAAGTTACTTAATTGTACAAGAGATGAAAATACACAGAACTGGTATAAATTTCATTTACAAGATCTTCAGGTCAAAGAAAGCTGGAAATGAATAACCGGTTTACGATAACGGACAAAAAAGGAGGGAAAAAAGAGAAAACCAATACGATGATAGCTTCTGGACGAAATATCATGGAGAAATAACTCACATATGGAATAATTTGTCGATGCACATGAGCCATGAATGTATTATCAATGCAACGTCCATCTGCACTATCCCACAACGTCAACTGGCCATCTGCGGAAGCACTCACGAATCTCCTGAAACCGATTACTGTATATTTATCCAAAATAGATCCTAAATTCGTATCATTTAAGCTGTACGCTTCAACAAAAATAATACAACGTGATGATTTTAAGGGAAAAAAGGCTCTTTCATTTTCGATAGGGTCTTCAAAAAAATTACGTCAAATTTCGCTTGGTATCTGTTGCTGATATAGCTGTAATTGGAACTTCATGTCCAAGTAACATCATTTGAGCCTGTAAATTCTCGTTACATTTCTCCCATATTATCAAGGTACCATCATCAGCTCCTGAAATGTATAACATGATACTCTTCGCACCTTAATTCCCATGAATTTAATGAAAGACCTGTCTGAAGATTGACGGTTTTTACGGATAATCCATTTGAACCATCGCAACTTTAATGGGTCATGCGTTGTTGAATTTATTCGCTACTTTTTACCTGTGATTATTACTGCCCCATCTTCAAAGCATTGCAAACAGTTAATGCGATGTTTCGGTGGCTTTTTACCCCAAAGAGCAACTGCAACTGCCAAACTTGATTGTGGTGTTGCTATCATGGTTCTGGAATATGGATTATTTATTTTTTTAATCTATATACTTGAAGATATGAGAGAGTTATGGTATATCTCGCCATGGGATAGCATGGATTCATTTTGGTACCGCTTGCCACATACATTCAGTTCAGATTCACCGATAAGTTATACTTAGGAGACAACAACTGTTCCTGAGAATCTGCTTCCTAGATCTAATTTATTCCGGCAAAATGGTATTTAAACAATGAACTTTACGTCCATGTTTGGTTAAATAAACTGTGCAGAGCATCGTGAAGTAATATTTATACAAGCTATTAAATATTTATAGCAGATTTATATATGACGCATAAGGCAATACACGACACATTAGTGTTAACGTGTATTTACAGCGTGTACCTGCATCTACGTGACGTATGCTTTTTCTGTCACATCACTTCCAACATTCCCAACCACAATTAACGCCCCCAAGGTAGCACGGTCCGTTGCATAGAACAATCATGCAACGCATCCTCGTCGAAGCGAACGTTGTGATTATATCGAGTGGGCTCACGTGAGTATGAGAAATTCTCGGGAGGTAGTGTTGGATGCACGTAAATGAGGAGCTACCGAGAGGTAGTGGTAATGGAAGATGGCTGGATTCTTGAACGTATATGTTTTTAGACATGAATGAAATTGGAAAGGAATGTTGTGGATTAGGGAAAGATTGGAGATTGAGAAAAATGCGAAATAGGCACTGATAATAGAGAATATGAACGTTTTAACGTCCCACATCCTCATATATATATATATATATATATATATATATATATATATATATATATATATATATATATAT